GACGAGCGCGTGGTCAGAGTCCACAAATGTGTTCCAAAACGACCGGCAGTCAGTTATGGACCCGCGCCATCGGTAACTGATGGCGTATGCCAGTCGACCGAATTCCTCGAAGGGCTCTTTTCGCACAGCCACGTGAAGGGTGGAAGAGAGCCAGAGGCGGTCAAACAATTACTTGGCAGCGAAGTGTGAAAGCCATTACCAGCAAACTCAGCTGCGCTGATCACTGCCGTCTTCTTGGATGGAGACCCCGAGACGAGCTACATCAATGGCTAGAGACATTGTTATACATGGCCCAGTCGCGCTCTCAATGGCGCTCGTGCATCAAAGCTATTGCCTTCAATGCATAACTCCTTTTCCAACCTCCACCCCCCACTTGACAGCTCACTGACAATGCTGGATTTATGCACCAATTTACCAGCTCGCGCCTGCAAGGCGCAGCTACTTACCACCCACCCCCAAATCATCGGTGAACGAAACTGCGGCAGCTGCAGCCACTGTACGACGAGTACGCGGTTATTACAGCTGACAATGATGATGGTGATCAATGTAGTCTACTACGCAGCAGCAAGAGGGTGTGTACCAACATATTTTGGGCGCAGACAGGCACCCTACCTTTGAGATTAAAAAAAACAGACGATTGCCTGTGAAACAGGTCCGTGTTACGGCCCGGAAAACTTTGTTCAAACTGGTATAAGTTCCGTTCAGTAGGTCAGCCGGTATATCGCCCTTAAATGGGAGTTTAATGTAAACGAGGTTTTCTTTCAGCTGTGGTGGTGACAGTGTTGTCTTTTTCCCTGTTCAAGTGCTTCGTAATTAAGTTGCCGGGGCATCCACTGTTTCACAGACCACTGGTTTGTCCTTGAATCTACGTGAGGTTTCTTCTGCTGTAGTAGCGAAGCGATAATTTCTTGAGACGCTTGCCCACCAAGGAATGCCCCGGAAGTTTGTAAACATAATACGTTCTTTGTATTCTCAGACTTCCGGACGTGTGAGAGTGTACGGAGAGCTCTCCAAAAGCTTCCGCACACAAAGCGGTGTCCGTCAGGGATGCCCACTCTCTCCATTCCTTTTCAACTTTGTGATCGATGAAATAATGAGACGAACACTGGAGGGTCTCCAAAACCCT